AAGGATCTTGGATGTAAAAGGCAGTAGCGAGATAGGACGATAGTTTGATGGGGAGTTAGTGTCAAGATTGGGCTTCTTTAGAATTGGGGTTACAGTTGCATGTTTGAAGGTCGATGGAAATATACCAGAGGAGAGAGAGAGATTGAGAATCTTAGTGAGAGGTGGAGAAAGAGAAAAAGACAGAGTACGGATGAGATGCGAGGGAATTGGATCTAGGGAGCAGGTGGTGGGGTGGGAGGACTGGAGCAAAGCAGAAACCTCTTCCAATGTAGCAGCTGCGAATGAACATAGAACAGCAGAGGGAGTGAAGTTAGGGACATCATCGAAGTGGGCGATTTTTAGCCAAAGCATTGTATTGGCTAAAATCGGCACAGGGGCGAGCCAAATGCTGTTTTGGCCTATAAGAACCTCCTCATAGAGATGCATTGAATCCAGTGGCGTACATACCACGGTCGCTGGGGTCGCGGCTACCCTGCGGACCACTGCAACCGGAATCCCGCTGCCAAGTATTGCGGCCCCCGGCCCGCGTGGCAATCTGCCAGGGCCGCACGTTCAAGGGGCCCATCGGGTAGCCCATGCTGTTAGGGTCACCCGATGGAGATGAATTTCCAGGGGGCCCCCCACTTTAACAGCGTGACCGGGCCCCCTGTGATGACATCACAGCTGGGAGGAAGTGACTGCCCTGGTCACTACTCCCAGCTATCAGAGAGAGCCTGTGCGGGAGGAAGGAGAGTTTGAACTCTGACTCCCACAAGCCTGAGCCACCACTGGACCCCAGGGAAAGTCACCCTCCTGCACCTAAAAGGTGACAAACATTTTGTTTATGTGTGTTTTTGTTTGTATGTATGTATGTGTATGTGTGTCTGTGTGTATATGTCTCTTTCTGTATGTGTAGGTGTGTATCTCTGTCTTTCTGTGTGTGTGTGTGTATGTGTCTGTCTGTGTGTGTGTGTGTGTATCTCTGTATGTATGTGTCTCTGTATGTAGGTGTGTCTGTCTGTATGTGTCTGTGTGTCTCTGTGTGTATGTATATGTCTCTGTGTATGTATGTGTCACTGTATGTATGTCTGTATGTATGTGTGTCTGTCTTTATAATGTAAATATAAAGAAATGTTCAGCCACATGGAACAGGAGACACTCCATTAAAAAATTATAATAATTTTATTAATATGTCCCCAAGGAAGATATAAATGTACTTGGTTTGCATGTTTTCTTTGGCGTATACAGAATATTTTCTTCAGTGTTCTCCCTGTACTCCCTTCCCTCCTCCCAAGTTGGTTTTATATATACCCCAATCTAAAATGCATAATGACATGTTTTCATTGAGGGTAAATCTGGTAAATTGTTACAAAAAAATATATATATTTATTATTTTCCATTAAATTGTTCCTTTGAACTGATATGAATTTAAATACATTTGTAAAATGTCAGCAGAATATCTGTATAGCTATATGTGTCACCTGCGTTTTTTTATTGCCCATCGAATAAGGTCTAGATTTACTAGATCTGAATATTTAATTATGGCAAATGATGAGCTACAAAACGGCGAGCAGAAATCACATTATCATAGGATGGCACCAAGAGAGAAATTGATATGTTGTTGTTTGCCTTGTTAAGATAAATCTGTTTTAAAGTGAATGAGCATATTTTATTTTTTATGTAATATTTATTTTGGTTGTTTTTTCCTAGTGTTCCTTCCTGTTGGTGCATGGGTCAAGGTCAGCGCTCCAGTACACCTTAGTCTGGAGTTAGGATCACCGGCCACTGTACCCTGTACGTACCAACTAGCTGCATCTCCGGTTGAGATGAAGTATCTGGCCATACTTTGGAACTTCAAGGGAACAGAAATCGCAAAATTTGATAGTAAAGGATTTAAAAAGCCCTCAGATCCAAGACTGACTTTAAAAGCAGATCATATTTCAAAAGGAGAGGTTTCTCTGTATATTAATAATGTGACTTTGGCTGACATCGGGCCCTATACATGTCGAGTAATCTACAGTCCAGACCAGGATTACAAGCTTGTTGGCGTAACTGTCTATGGTAAGATCTGGACACAGTTTTTAATACTTTCTGTTGATTACATTTATATATCTTTATATGTGTTTTCATAGTACACGAGAGTCAGTTCATTAATTGTATTTCTAGTTATACGCACGTGTTTTGCACTCTAGAAAGAGGGGGAAAATTGTACCATTGGCGGTTCATGTTTAAAGAATTTTAATCAAGAGATAGTTTTCCATGTTAGAGATAATTTACCATAGGGGGATGATGAAACCAATGAATTAATTAGATGAAAAAGTCAACTTTCAGAGTAAGTGCTTCATCTGGACTTTTCTAGTTCAGTAGAAATGGATATCGTAAAAAAATGGACGGAGGACAACTACATAGTTTGAAAACAAGAACTGATATTAGCTCTTGGTAACTTTACAGGAGTAGGTATGGTCATGCCAACAATGGATTTATCATGTTGGTCTAGTGGAAGGAAGGATATTATTTTTTTTCCCAAAGATAATTTTATTGTATTGAAGAGAATATACCTATTTATAAGAATGCCCCAAATATCCATACAGATGTAAGGTTTATTGAAATTCTGTAAAAAATAGTTTTAAGTTCTAGTGTGGCATACTTCACATATTCTGAGACAGAAATACAGCAGACCGTGTAACAGAAAATAAAAGCTGAACAAATAGTGAACAACAAGGATGCGAGAATGCAAGGCGGGAGTACACTTTATCACTTGGCACAGTGACGCTACAAGTTAAATGTGGTGTAGTACTAATCCCTTGTGTAATCAAAGCATTAGTACCTTACTGCATGAACACAGTCAATGGACAACGCGTACGTCAGGAGTTAGGAGCCTCTGGAGGGGGTGCTACTGGCTTGGTTTTGGGTTTTCAGTATTTGATTACTTTAAGTATGGCCACTAACTCATATTTGATGGTTTGCGAAATCAGGAGGATAAGATTATCTAATGTTTGAATGTAGATTGAGGCTTAATTGCTCGCCAGTACAGGCTGCTACGAGTATAGAAGTGAAATATTTCCTGGTTTTGGGGAATTTTGTAGGTAAAATACATATTACTGGATTTAATAACAGACCAGTAAATAGCAATGCTGTAGCTTAGGACATTCCCACCATATAGGAGAAATAGGTCCAATACTATAGAAACATCTCCAACATTTACTTGATTTACTAGATCAAACAATAGACAGTCTAGTGCCGGCATAGGCAACCTTCGGCACTCCAAATGTTTTGGACTACACCTCCTATGATGCTTTCCCAGCATTATGGGTGTACGAGCATTATGGGGGATGTAGTCTACAACATCTGGAGTGCTGAAGGTTGCCTATCCCAGGTGGGTACCATGTACATTCTATAGAAGATTTTCCACATCAGACAGACAGTCTTAGTATGGTACGTAAGAGTTATTTTTCCCATTCTGCAATAATTGTTATACCATACCAAGTTTCATATAATTAATCTGATAAATTGTTGCTATAATTTTAGGTAAATAATCCCCAAAAATGTCACATGGTCAAATCTTTAATCATATGCAAAATCTCATTTCAGGGAGGTCAACTGGTGATCCTTCAATTTATAATATGGTGATTGGTTATAATCATGTAGGAGTTATAATACAAGATAATATAATCAACAAAGAAGTTAAAGGGACACTGTAGGCACTTTTATCTAATTGAATTGGTTATATTGACTTGAGTTCCCTGGCACTGTCCCTCCACTCAGTGTTATGAGGGTCCCTGGTTTCCAATAGCCCGTTGCCTAGTGCAAGTATGGCTAAAGCAGAAATTACACACTTCCTTGCAGCCATATCGGTTAATACCTGCAATAGACACTGTGATTGACTGAATGCGGTCAACTGACACTCTCAGCCAGCCACATTCGCCCACTGCGGTTCAGACTAGTGCTTCCCCATTAGCCCAAGCAGAATATAGGGGACATTTGTTTGGCATTAAACATTGAAATCAGTTTAATACTGAATTTAAGGACAGCACCAGTGAACTCCGTACACTATAACCACTTCAATTACATAAAGCAGTTATGGTGCCTATAGTGTTTCTGTAAGTGTAAATAATTTGTCTCCCAGTTTTGGATTACTGAGAATTATTGCAGTGAAAGTTTTTAGGGCCATAACGTAAAGCAAGGGGGACAATGAAAATCCTGTTGTGTTCTACTGGAGATCATAAAGGTCTTCGGTATTAAAAATTCTATAAGTGGGGTTATTGTATCACTATTTTATGGCTGCTAAAAATGGAGGGAATTAAAACTTGTTGAGGACCAATTTAAAAATATTCCAAATGAGGCAGCTGAATGTATTCGTAGACTGCTCTCATTGCTTCAATCTTTGAAAACTATATAAGACAGTTATAAATATGTAACTATGCAGGGTAATAGCTTTTTGATCCATAGATAAATCTGATTGCCAAGAGGGATTTTTTTTTCCTAGTTTGTTGAAAAATTGGAAGTGCTTCAAACTGGGGTTATTTTTTGTCCAGTGTATGCGAAGATCCCAGGGAAGTACCACAGGGTACACTTGACCAGGGCCCACCACTGAACAGATCTGAAAACCTCTTCAGATCTGGCAACTTCCTAATAATTCTGATGTAAATTAAAGGCCTTTCTTGAACGTGTCATGGCTTTAATTCTTTTTCTTAAACTAACCTTATTATAGGGCAGCATCCCACCACTATTTCCTGCTGAAATTTGTCTCCGGGAAGACACTGAAAAAAAAAAAAAGAGAGAACACCAATAGGAATAGATTTCCCTCCACCACCACCAGAGAACCAGAAAATATTCTAACCCCATTAAGAAACATTCAACGGGCAAAATCTGATGAATTCCTTACAGCACATTTAAACATAACACAAGAAGGGATATCACACACATCCACACTAGAGATGTCGCGAACCGTCCGCGAACTTCTCGCGAACGGTTCGCCACGAACCGTTCGTGGCGAACTCCGGTCAGCTGACACATCCCGGCCAATCTCCGGCAGACCCTCCCTCCCAGACCCTCCTACTTCCTGTCCATCATCCATGTTGAAGGCAGCTTCAACATGGATGCTGTCCAGGAGGTGGGAGGGTCTGGGAGGGAGGGTCTGCCGGAGATTGGGACGTTCGCGGACGGTTCGCGACATCTCTAATCCACACACAATAGGTTTGAAGCCCTAGCAACAACACCTCAAGATGAGGATTTTTGGAACACGAGGAAGAAAGAGAAATACTAACATCTTTCTCACCAAAAATCACCAAACAAAAGACGGAGAAGTACAGAAGAAGAAATAGGAGAGGAGGATTGGATGTACAGAGGAGAAAAACGAGACAGAATGCATCCATAGAAACAATAAATGAAAAACAGGCAGGAATATTCAATCTAACTACAAAAACCTTAAACCAAACTCAAATAAAATAGCTTTTTTCAAATTGGGTTTAAAATATGCCCCAACAAATAATCTAAATAAATTCCATATATATATTGACCTTAATAAATTTAAAAGAAATCTTTGTATAAAGACAATTTTCCAACTCAAATAGGAAAGAGGAAGACAATTATACCCATACACCATTGAGAAACAAATCAAATATTTTTCCAAAGAATTTCATTTCGAGTGAAATGTCAACATTTGAAAAAAATGGTTGTGGCAGATATCAACAAAATGAAAAAGCCAAATAAATACCAGCAGAATTAGTAAAAGAAAGAGTATCAGAGTTTAAAGGATTTCCAAAGAGATAATTCAATCATAATCAAGCCAGCAGATAAAGGTGGAGGAATAGTCCTTTTAAATTTGGAGGACTACGATAGAGAAGCCTCAAGACTATTAAATGATAGAAAAACTTACCAAATATTAACAATGGACCCAACTAAAATGATGAAAGAAAAATTTAATATATATTTAAAGAAAGGCCTTGATACAGGTATTTTAAATAAAAAGGAATTTGAATATCTAAATGTAGAATTTCCAAAAATCCAAGTTTTCTATTACTTACCAAAAGTACACAAAGACCCAATCAATCCACCGGGAAGGCCTATAATTTCAGGCATTGGATCCATATCTAGTAGGCTGTCTGAATACACAGACAAATGTCTACAGCCGATGGTACAAAAGACACCTAGCTACTTAAAAGATACAGGAAGCATTTTAAGGCATATTGAAAAAATCACCTGGAAAGAGGAGTATTACCTTGTAACTGCTGATGTCAGCTCATTATATACCATTATATCCCACCAAAAAGGCTGCACAACAGTTAGGTATTTCCTGGAACAATCAAAATGTTTTAAACCGGAACAGATAGATTTTATAATAGAGGGAATCAAGTTAATTTTAACCAGTAACTATTTTTGGTATAATTAAGTTTTCTATTTACAATCCTGTGGTACAACGATGGGCACCAGGTTCGCACCTAGCAATGCAAACTTATTTATGGCTAATTGGGAACCCCATTTCGTATTGCGGGGTCATGACTGGGTAGAGGGCCTGGTGACCTATCGCCGGTACATAGACGATTTGTTTTTTATCTGGAATGGCACGGAAGACACTTTGAAAAATTTAATTGCTAACCTAAATAATAACGAATGGGGAATCATCCTCACCACGAATTATAGTAAAAAAACAAACAGTATTTCTAGATCTCAATATATTCATTGAAAAAAATAAAATGAAAACCAGTACCCCTTTCAAAACCGTGGACGTAAACAGCTTTATACACATATCAAGCTGTCATTACGAACTGTGGCTTAAAAGTGTCCTGAAGTCTCAATTCCTTCTCATTAGAAGAAATTGTACAGAAGATGATAAATTTAAAGAACAAACTAACAAATTAAAGACAGATTTACTAGAAAAAGGCTATAAGGAAATGGATTTGGAGAAAAATTATCAACAAATATTACAAATAAATAGAAATACACTTTTAAAATTAAAACACTAATAAACAAAACACAAGAAAATTATATACCTATTGTGTGCAATTATAGCTTCAATCATAGTGAAATCAGGAAAATATTCAATAATCACTGGCCGATCTTAAAACAAGATCCACAATTATTAGACCTCATACCTGAAAAACCAAAAACATGCGCCTAACCTCAAACAACTATTAACTAAAAATCACATAAAAAAGAAACCAACTTCAAATTTTATTAACAACAGTAAAAGTTTTTTTGGATGCGGAATTTGTTCTGCTTGCAAAAACACACACACACACACACACACACACAAAAAAGACACATTACCAAATTCAAGAACTCTAAACAAGACGAGGAATTCAAAATTAAGGAATTAATATAACCTGTCACTCAGTAAACGTGGTTTATCTAATGGAATGCCCATGCAGCCTAAAATATGGAGACCAAAGAAACCTCCACACAAGGATAGAGGAGCACATTAGAAATATTAAAGGTTATGAAGGACACATTGTGTCGCAACAATTTAAAAATAAACATAATAATGACCCAAGCAATCTTCAATTCATGGGCATCCAGAAAGTAACAGGAAATTGGTGTGGAGGAGATCTAATTAAGAGTTTGGGTCAAAATGAAATGAAGTGGATCTTCAATTTAGGAGCATTGTATCCCCATGGTCTAAATGTGAACTTTGAGCTCTGCCATTTCATTTAACCTTTTAGAAAAATCATTAGATAATAAAATAATTTTGAATCTCTATTTCTAACCTAAAAGAATGTTTATAAAATATTTTTATACTTTAGATTTTATTAAAAAAAATTTTTTTTACAACAGCTGAATTCTAATGTAATAATTTCTAATTAGACTCTAATAAAACTAAAGAAAATAAGAGTCAAAATAAGTAAGAACATAAATACAAGTACAAACTAAGGAGAAATTTTCTCCAATCTTTAAATTTTTTTAAATATAAATTTATTTCTAAAGGTGAAAACTATTTCATACAACACAAACATGTACTAAAACTCTATATTTATGTGTTGTTTTGTCTATTCCCCAGTATTTTTTCTAGACACCTGTCTTTCCCTTACCCATTCCCATATCCAATATGGCCTCGCTAAATCCCAGGTCATGTCCACACATGCGCATAAGTTCCGGACGATGGGAGTGACGTGATGATTCATGCCCCCATGCCGAACCTTACTGCAGTGATCACGGTCACTAGACGCAAGTGCGTCCTAGAGGGAGAAGGGACGCATAAGGTAAATGATGGAAAGCAAAAAAAATAAAAAAAATTAATCACTTCCGCCAACCACTGATCATCCGGCGGACACTTCCGCCAACCACTAAACCACCAATGAAATTTTATATTTAAAACATACCTCCTTCTCCCAGTAATAAAAGGAAGTGAAACACAGGTGAATACAAATATAGGAGGGACTCATAATTAAAGGCACAGACAATTGGATAATCGAAAAATTGAACCACGAATACGAACTCAAGGGAGGACCCAAGAGACATTTAAAAGGCAGAAGGTACTGGAAGATCTAACACTGCTGACTGAGGAAGATCCAGGAGGAGTGAAATGCGTATCGGCAACGAGGACTTTTTATCTTAACTATTGTATTTCATTTTTATTTACTTTTTAGCATAATTGTATTAATAAATAGATTACATTTTATGCTAAGTCCATAGAAGCCTCAAGTACCTTAATTTGGGGAAGTGCCAACCCGTTAGAGTGGCACAAAGCCTACCACCCTCAGAGCCAGGATTTTAAGGCTCTATAACAGGTGAGCATAATATCAATTTACATTCTATCAGAAATATTCGTGAATTGGCTATACTACACATTGGATGTTCCTATTGTTTTTATCTTCCTGGAGAAAAATTTCATCAGGAAATAGTAGTGGGATGCTGCCCTAAAAAGCATACAGGTCCAATTTACAGAGACAAAATGGCTCTGGAAAATGTGAGTGATCCATTTATCTACCTCATTTGAAAAGTGTTTTACAACCTGCACTATATTATATATTTTTATCTTCCATACTGTATGTGATGTATACGACCCAATCAAGACCCTGTGAGGTAATTCCTCAACATTTATAGCGCTCCACTTAAGGTATATAGTATATATATTATATACCAAATTGCTTTGTTGTATCTATAGCATGTGGAATACAGGAATACATTATCTTTTTCACTAGCACACACTCTCCCAAAAGGAGATCTGTTTGGTTCTAACCTTATTATAGATCTGATAGACACTCTTACTATTCCCACTAAAAACAGCTGACATGACAGATGTGGTATATGTCTTAGTAGAGGACTCCAGTCATCCCACATTTTCTGCATTCAATATCTTGATGATTTTTAGGTTCAAAGGCTTGAACTAGTCTCTACCATGACCCTGTGGTTCCTGACCCTGTGGACCCCTCATACTTTGTACGTTAAAGCCTAGTTTCCTTCAGGCAGCTACAGAGAATGCAGTCAGGGGTGTCTTCTTTATAATATTTGTGCTTTCTTATACATTTGCTATCAGTAAACCTACCTCTTGCCCTTTCTTCTTCATATGACTGTTTACATATTTCTCTTTTGTCATGTAACAGTCCATCAAAAAAGTGGGCAGTGCTTTAATTTATATTTACAAACCTACATTTAGTAAACATTTGATAATTGCAAGACACAACTGGCTTCTCAAGTAAGTTTATTGCCAATATTAACTTTAAACTAGTCACCTTTCTTGAAAATTGTATTTAATCAACAACATCAAGGGATCAATGACTGAAACTGGGAATGTAAACATTTCATTACCTTTTGTAGCCCGTCCAACTATTAAATCGCTGGAGAAACAGGAAGGGACAGATGGAATAGAAGAGATGGTTTGTTCAGTCACTGGGTTTTACCCGAGAAAAATTGCTGTAACGTTACTAAGGAATGGAAAGGTAGCAAACGAGTCTGTCCTGAGCCAGATTCAGACCAGTAGTGATGGCACTTACAGTATCAACAGAACCTTGACTCTGCAGCCCAATGAGAAACTCAACAGCCTTTCCTGTGAAGTGCAGCATGAATCTCTTCCAGACATTCTAAAGAAAGAAGTCAATCTATTGTATGAAGGTAAGAAAAATGACTTATTGTGCCTATATATTCCAAGTTTGTCATGTTTTCAAATCCCAAACCTCTTACATATAAAATAGTTGGGATCGCTTCCCTCTCACATGTTTCTGCCACTGTTCTCTGTGATGCTAAACGTTCACTTGCTGCATCGTTTTATGGGCAGCCGAATTTGGCGAATGGCGAATTCACCAGACCGAATTTGGAACAGAATGGCAAATTAAATGGACTGCATTCGGCGAACAAATATGATATTTACAAGTATGCTAATAAGGATTTCTACTGTCCATAAATCATAAGGAATTCAGATATGACATGAACCAATAGAAATTATGCTCTACCTATATATACTTACCTCTCCTGGTTTCTGATTTAATTTGTTTTCTCATTCCTCTTTGGTGTCCTTTGACCATGGCTTGTTATAACGTTAATCAATACCTCTCCTGTCCTTGACCTCAGCATTCTCTCTGACTGCTCTCCTGTTAGTCTGACTTAATGACAGGTATATACCTTGTCTATTTATTGTGTTATAGTCTGCACATTTAGGTTCCACGCCGAACCTGAGAAAAATCAACTAATATGCAACTTTGACCGCAACCCATATTACTACCTGGTCATTAGTTATATTGTCATAAACAGGACCACCACAGCTCAAGGCTGCTAAACTGCTCCCTCACTGTCCTGCACTCACGAATGAGCACTGAAACATAAGGGAGCCATTACTGTGCTTTGCATCCGAAGGATGTTCGAACTACAGGTTCCCACACAACAGTGTTTGGGCAGCTCTGCCTTACGCCTGAACGGTCCTCCTCTTCCTGTCCGCTCAGGGGGTGGCGGGAGAAGCATTGGGCTTTGCAGCAGCATTCCAATCAGCTCATTGCTGAGCTTCCCCTTTCCCTACTGGTCCTAGTGCGCAATCCACTCCCCTAAAAAACAACAAACAAAGCCCTTATGCTGCAATTTTGGAATTTTGAGATTATAGCCCCCCCACATCCCCCGTAAGAAAGGTAAACAGGAAGGGACAAAACACAGCCTTACAAACAAATACCCCAACAAGCCCCCCACATTATACACAGGCCAGACCTCCCCACTTCACACAAAGCCAGTGTACACCACACCAGGAAGGGACAAAACACAGCCTTACAAACAGGAAGGGACAAAACACAGCCTTACAAACAAATACCCCAACAAGCCCACACACACATTATACACAGCCAACAATCCCTCCCACACTTTATGAACAGACAGCAGACACCATACACAATATCACACACAACGTACATATACTAAACAAAGCCAGCACTCAAGCACAGACACCAAACTTACTTCCCACTGCCAGCACACTGTGAAATAGGACAGATGGAGAGACGCTCTTGGCAGGAACCTAAGTATTTCTAATTGAAATAATTTTGAAGGTCAACGTTGCAGTCCCAGTTCGGGACTTTCCCCAGGAGCAGATGGTCCTGGTCCTGAGGAATATCCCTAACTGGGACTGAAACTTTGACACAATTTTTTGTAAGGAGTACATGGAAACTCTTTAATAAAGTTTGTTGGAATTAAAGTCCGTGCGCGCAGACTTCTTTTCTCTATATTTGTTTGTATATGGCCATGGTCTGGCACCCGGCAGAATTTAACATAATTATCATTGTGGACATGAATGCAAGGATTTTGTATGAACTCTTAGCTCTTTACTTTGTATGATGTATAGAGGGTTATTTACTACATAGGCAACCTTCGGCACTCCAGATGTTTTGGACTACTCTTTCCATAATGCTTTGCCAGCATTATGGGGGATGAAGTCCACAACATCTTGGGTGCCGAAGGTTGCCTAATGTGAGAATTCTAAGTGAGTTCAATGTGAATTTCAAATCTGAGGTCAAAATAGCCGAACAGGAAACATTATCTAAGTCTCCTATGTTGTCAGTTTGGCCTTAACTTTGAAATTCTCACTTTAGAAAACAACCCTGATAAATGGTGTATTCGTTAAAGGGACATTCCAGACCCCTAAAGCACTTTAGCTTGTTGAAAAGCCTTATGGGTGAAGAGTGTGTACTCGTAAAAAGTGCAGATTTCAATAGTAATTGACACTTTTCTAAATTAATCTTGTTACACCCACCTGGCTTTCAAGCAGACAACAAGTCCTGTTACTTCCTGGTTATTTAGCTCAGTTGAACTAAACTCAAGAGGCAGCAATTGCTCAAAGCTGCATTGGGAAGTGTATGATTGGACATCCACAGAAAGTGTGGGCGGGGCTAGAAGGGGAGGGCTTGCAAAGGCTGCAAACAAGAGATCAGCAGGTGTTGCAAGCTGTTTTTAGATATACCCCCAGTAACACAACAAGCATAATTAAATGCATGCATGTTTTCAGTTTATGTGAATCTACTAAGCAGTGATTTTTATTTATTTTGCATTTATGCAGTGGAGTGTCCCTTTATAATCTCTCTCAATAATAATTTTTGTTCCATGTGAATGTTGTATTCAGTCTGTTTTCATGATGCACCAATGTCTCTCTCTGCCTTTGTGTTACATGTCTCTCTTTGGCTTGGTAGTAAATGTGTCTCATTTCTGGGAGACTGACTATCTCAGTGAAGATGTCTTGTTGTTTTTGTGATGTGTCTCTCAGATATTTTGTTTTCTGTTATTGTCTTGTCTGTATGGTAAGCACTCCTTTTATCATATTAAGGTTTGATGAGGTATCTCAAATCTCCTCTCAATGTTCATCTCAGTATTCCTGATGATAATATTATTTTAAACACAATGCAGTTTTATTAAAATAGAACAGAATGATAATTAAATATTATATTTCTTTATTTCAAACCTTACAGGAGAGAATAACAATCAGTCTCTTATCATCGGATTGGTCGTTGCGGGGATAATTGTTGCTGTGTTTGTAGCAGGTTTTGTAGTATATACACAAAAAAGGAAAAAAGGTAAGAATGCCATCTCATCTCTCATTGGTACTGTCTTTTATCTTGTGACTTATTTATTCTTTTTTTTAAAATTCTTTAACCTATGTTTCCATCAGAATAGAATGGATGAGAATTGTAGTGATATAAAGGTCTAAAATGTTTCATTACATGTATATTCAGCTATTTATGTATCAGGAATTGGTTTGTCCAGATATTACATTTTTGCAGTCTACACATTTTTTATTGGTGCCATTTTTACACATTTGCCCCTATTTATTAGTTTTCAAAAGAGAACACCTCCTCCCTTGACCACAAACAAATACAGTATTCTAACATGTAAAACTGCAAAGGCTCTGCTTATTTCTGTAAATAATTGAAAAAATATTATGCTATCTTTACATAGACATAATACCCACCTATGGTACCTACAGCAACGTCTGTACTCTAGTACCTCTCTGGCTGTTAGAATAGGACCATGCAGTTAAACTTACAAATGTTCTGTGGAATGGATGGGGGGCAAGTAGGTGAGATTGGTATTACAGTCCCTCTGTAGAGATGCAGAGGGACACAAAGAGGACAGTGTCTCTGTAGGGTGAGAACCAGTGATAGAGCAAATGTCTTTATGGGCTACATTGTAAGTAGAAATGTATCAGATATATTTAAATTTGCTTTGAAATGCAAATACAAGTTATCTCTATCAGGGTTATTTACTCAAGTGAGAATCCAAAGCGAATCTCAAACTTCAGGCAAGAGTAGCCAAACGGAGAGCATAGGTGACTTCGTGAATTTTTGCAGTTTGACTATTTTGATTTTAAATTTGGAATTCACTTGGGAATCTCACTTTAGTGAATAATCCTGTATGAATACATGTTGTTGGGAGGAAGAGTCCTCTTAAAGGGATCCTGAAGGACCAAACAAAGCCATTTTCCTGGCACCACAGACCCCTGCAATGCCCCCCTCCCTCGATACCCCCCACGACACTGAAGGCCTTAAAATCCCTTCAGCCACTTACCCTTCAGCGCCGGTGTCCCTTGGTGGTGGGTCAGGCTCCACCCATGGTGAGGAAGACCTAATGCATAGCGTGAGGACGTCCAGCCGGAGGTTACTGGAACAAAGGTCCGTTACGATCTGTTAGACAGCCACTGATGGCAAACTTAGAGCTGCAATGAAAACATAAAGGTGCAAAAGGGACACAGCACCCAAACCACTTCAATGAGCTGAAGTGGTCTGTATGCCTACAGTGTGCCTTTAAAGTCTTTCTGGGTTGGATCAAATATCAGTTGCTGTTGTGTCTCTAGACTTGTTTCCAAAGTTGTCGCTGAGTTTTACCAGCCAGCCATTACTGTACTGTTCATAACTGATAAATCTCACTTTTAGTGACCGGGAATTACCAACTGTTGTTACTGTTGATGACACATATAGTGTATACAGTGAATTTAACTGTTATTTTGTGACTGGTTTCAAACTTTGCTGCTACTATTATTGGGTACATCAATCTCCCCAAATGTAAAACATGTCTCTGCCTGGTACAAGCTAACTCTCCAAGAATGATAATAGGAATATATTGTTTTAGTGCTGTACATGGCTAATTTGCGAGTCAGTAAATCTATGCGAGCAGTATCTATCTATGCGTCAGTACCTACGCGAGCAGTTATTGTTAACGTCACTCAGCTGGTAAAAAGTAACCACAAGATTGAAAACCAGTTGGTATCTTGTGGTTGCTAAAAGCTACTGACTTTTGTTAATAGAGACAGCTGATGGTGATTATTTACTGACAATATTGGAGAGGAGTCCTCTGTTTTATAACACTAACCTGCTGTTTCTATTCTGTAAATTAAAGTGTTCTCTTTATTTGAAAGGTTTGCTGCAGTTTGTGGTGGGTGACATTCAGGGTCCTCAGACCTGGATCGATGGAGAGAAGATCACCCTGTACTGTACGGGGTCTAACTGTACTCCCAACACTGAGGTTAAATGGACCGTACAGGATAAAGATGGGAACATCGTTACGATTTCTGACATTGTGACAAAGGACACGGAGGAGGAACAGCCGCTCATGTCAGCAGAATATCTGATAAACAGCGAAAAGAAGGATAAACCAGGAAAAAAAGTTTGTGATTTTACCAGCTCTCTGAGTTTTATCCCATCTTTATCAAGACATCTTAAATCAGCCGTGACGTGCGAGTTTACCTGCGCTGAGAAAACCGAGCAGAAATCATTCAAATACAAATCGATTTACGGTAAGGAAACAGTCAAAGATCATATCACGGGGGAGGGGGAGATTATTGTGAAAATTGTCAAAATGTAATATCAAGTAAATTAAAGGGTTAATCCCTAATACAGAATTGTAGTAAACTGAATATCAAATTGCAAAATGTATTAAAAAAAACAACCCACTGATTTGTACAAATTCTCCAACTCGGTTATAGTCACAGCTTGGCTGTATTAGTTTTGCAATTTGGATTTTCAACTTTCAAACACACAGAGATCCATCGCTCCATATAACAAAAGGGATTACCTTTCTTTATACGGAATGCTGGATTTTGTGATGTCGAATAGGTAGGCCCTCACTACCTTTTATCTTCTTTATAGTAATATAGTGACAGAGTGCTTTTTCAAGAGTGTCAATGTAATAGAAAGGTGTTTGGCAGAAAATATAACAATTTGATCAGTCTGATATGGATATAATAAGGGTTTATTTTGTAACTGATTTATTATTTTGTGTATGTAACGGATCACCTGGCACCCCGACTGGCTACCTCCGTTAAAGGATGCTCCTAGCGTTTCCTGAGGACCCCAAGCACTCTGGCAGACACCACAATCACCGAACCGGAGAAGCATATGAGTACTTCTAAGCATATGAATGCTATAAACAGCTGAATAGGCAAAAACCATATGAATGGGTTTAGACTCCTAGCAGTCAAACTGGAACAGCATACAATAAATCCTTCCCCAATAATGAAACAACGCTTCACTTTGAGGGTTAAACAGAATCTCTAGGTTTATTCACACAACCTCCTTTTAAAACATTCTCCCATGCAAGGGAGGGATCCACAACAATTAGTACCCCAGCCAATAATGTACCTGTTATCTCCCACACATCTCCTCCCCTTAGTGTGACACATAATCCCATTAGTACAGACACAAGTTCCCTGGGTTACTGGATGTACCCCTAAACATAGGGTTACCCCTTTAAATGTTACATCCCCTGGTAGCCCTGATCAGGGTGAGACACATATCCAAAAATCACCCAGATCGGACCAGGGGTTCGGGAATTATGGAGGGTTAAAGGTTTGACTTACTGCATGGCAAAAGTATCTGAAAATAGTTCCATGTATTTTGGCCCTGCAGTCGGTCACAGAAAAGGGCATGAAAACACACGAATTGCCTGGGTATAGAGCCTGGGCAGGGTTTAAACGAATTCCCTTGTTCGTGGGGTTCTTTCTACCGAACGGCGGGTCATTCGGTAGTTTCCACACAAATTCATGGAAGTCTGGAGGTCTCAGCGGTGTTTGCCTAGTCGAGTGTCCGATTTTAGTTCCAGACACTCGACGGCAAAACACCGCTGTTCGGGAGTTTAAGATGGCCGCCGCCACGTGTTCGTTTCCCGAATGGCGGCCACCCAGAGGACAAAACCACACATTACATCGATTGCCAATTACCCGTTTCGGCGAAGCAAGTCGCCTTTATCAAGGCTCTTTATCAAGGCGCGTTTCGGCGAAGCAAGTCGCCTTTATCAAGGCTCTTGATAAAGGCGACTTGCTTCGCCGAAACGCGCGTTGGGCACTTTGGGCACTTTACTAAAGCGGATGATGATTTTAATTTAGGATTCTATTTTGTTTTCAGACTGTCCTATCATTCATTTATGGTGGGATTAGATACTAGTCTATTACCAGCATGATATTAGGGACTCC